CATTGATGAAAATCAGGACATAAAGAAATTAGGCAAACAACACGTATCTATAATATAGTTATGCGGAAATATTAATTCAGTTACGCTAACATGAGAACCGTGGTGCGCGGATTAAAACGGTTCGGCGATTTCGCTGCCGCGAGATCGGCGGAATCGCTTCATTTCCATCGAAATTAAGAGACGGAAACCTCGCGCCACACTCCTTTGGAAACGGTCCACCAGCGGGCGGCACGTCGGAGAATGAACAAATCTAAATGAACGTGCCGGATGATAAAAGGACGTCCGCGAGTATACGCGCGTTTTTATCCGGCTGCGCCTCCGCAACCTAATTGAATGCAGCGCAATCTAAACGGCGTCAATTTGCTGATTCCCCTTCCGTCCTGAATGGCTTTAATGCCCCCGCGTACAGAGAGAAAAAGAGTGAGAGAGAGAGAGAGAGAGAGAGAGAGAGAGAGAGAGCGCCACCCGCGGTCCTCGACGACCGACATTATCACCTTCCCCGATGAGAAACGGAAGGCTCGTTTCGCCGCCGTTAATTCTGTCACCGCACTCCGAGGATATTCCTAAATCCGGCGAGGCGGAATCCGCTTCGTGCGGTTGTCGACATGGGCGAGTTCGCGAAACGGATGAGGACTTTCCACAAGCTAATTAGCTCCCTCGCCGTCGTCGACGATGATGTCACACTCTCAGTTTCCCCGTGTATGTTTCACGTTTCAACGGGAAACTTTCCTTTCCAGGACCGATTTACACACCACCGTCGTTGCTGCAGTCCCGCAGTCGATCGTGCGAAAAGCTGGGCGTGCGGTGCGCGCCATTGCGATCATCCCTCGCGAAGTTCTTTTTTTCCTCTTTCGGGTCTCTCGCTCGCACGAGGATCGACGGCGACTCTGATTTCTGAATCGCTGTTCCACCTCGTTCATCCGTCATTCTCGATCGCCGTCCGTTATCACGGCCTCGTGCCCTACCCGTTTGCGGGCACGAGCGAACGGCCTCGTTATCGAACCGCCGCAATAATAGCGTACGTCATAGTTAATAGGAAATTGTTGATACGTGTCGCGTGTGTAAATTGATGTGCGTGTGTTCGCGAGTGTCCGTTTCTGGTGGTGGCCTTATTGTTGCCGGCGTTTTGACGTTTCCGTTACGAGTTTCTCCGAGGGAGCCGGGTGTTGTTGGGTCGTGGTGTCCTTTACGATCGCTCGTCGACGGCTCGTGCGGAAGTGCGGCGACGTCGGGATTAAGGAGCGAGCATCTTCGACAGCTCCTCGTCCTGGAGGCAGCCCTTCAGGAACTCGTCCTGCGTCAACTGCCCGTCGTTGTTCTCGTCCATCTTCGCGAATATGTTCTTCGCTCTCTCCTCCGCGCTGTCCGCCGGCCTATTGCTCGAACACGCGCCGAGCATGTCGTATATCGCCTGGGAACAGAAAGGACAACACTTTTTGTTTCTCCATTGTGGTATTCAGGATCGCGCCGGTGGAATCAATGCGCCACCCGCCCGCACGTCTAGAGAAGAGCAGTCTATTTTATCGCGTATCCGATACAAAGGAGAGTTCTGCATCAACGTCTTGGAATACGGAGAAACGATCAACGTCGTTCACGATGATTTCAAAGGGGAAACATTCTCACTTCTGCTCTCAGTTCACAAAATGATATCAATCATCCTTGTTCCAAGGCGTCGATACATTTCCAACTGTAAATTCGTGAAAGATCTCAAGAGTTTAATGTCATAATAGAGTAGAAGTAAATTTATACGGTGCTTTTTTATTGAATTGTGTGAGGATATTAGTCATCTCCAATTCACAGGGAATCGTTAAGCTGATGTAACAGTTAATGCAGTTTTACGACTTTACCTTCTCACGTAATACAGATACGTTTCATATGTGTCTGCAACTTTCATTAAACATGGGTCCTACATCGATTTTAATTATACCAGAATGTATAATGTATATGCACATATCCCTTAGGGCTCAATAAGATGAAACATATATGAGCCGATATTACATATATTTCGTGCGCTGGTAGCGCACAAAAACAAACAATTTATATAAAAAATTGATACATTTATGTTATAATTTCTTTGTTAAAAATAATATTTTTCCTAAGAAAATGCGAAGAGAGATTGAGCAAAATGCGATTTGCGAATTATGCATTATAAATGCAATAAAGTCGTAAATCACGAAAACCACGAACAACCCTCGTGTCACATTCTTTCAAACGAGAAACATCCTAAATCCATCAAGCTCGAAGGTAGCCCGCGACTCGGGCATACAAAAAAACGGCACCTGATTAATGAACATTCAATGGATCGCCGGTGAGCGTAGCTTCTTTCGATCTATAGGTATACACTATCAGACTATAAAAATAACAAAAGTACAACCATTTATTACTTTAGCAATTCCTTTATGTAGTTTATGTAATAAGAAATATGCCATTTTTTAATAAGAGTTTATGATTTAAGAAAAATTACTTTCACAAGGAAACATATATATGGGACATTCTCTGTCAAAACGGCCACTCCCCCGGCCCACTTCAATTTTTGAGATAAAATACTTTAAGAGGTCTTAAAATTTTCGTTAAAATGTCTACTTTTTGATATCATATGGCCTTAAAAATTCAAGATGACGGATTCAGAATCGTGACTAGAATGGACTGTCGTCAAAAAATTTTTGTAACAAACTTTAATTACTGAAGCACAGGGGGCTAGAAAATTTTTATATTTTCATAAATTAAAGTTTTGGGAGTCGCTGAATACGAATTCGTAGTCATAATTATAAAACAATGGCGAATCCAATATGCTTAAAAATTGAAGTTTGGACAGAGGGGGTGGCCCGCTTGACAGAGAATGCCCTATATATATATACATATGTTTCCTTGTGAAAGTAATTTTTTAGCCAACAACATAGATGATTTAATTATAAGATATATACCTACATATAAAATTATTATATCCATATTATAAATAAATAAATATATATATATATATACATATATATAAAACAATTTTATATGTATATAACTTATAATTCAATCATCTTGTATTGATGACTTTACGTAAAGAGCAGGCTCTTAAAATATTTTAAATCTTAATTGTCTTATAAACAAATTGCCAAATGAGTTTTTACGAATATTATTACAATGCTGACCGTGAAACTATTTTTTGACAACGCAAAAAATAAAAAAATTCTCTTTACACGTCACATCCATCTTTCATCGAATTTTATTATATCACGAAATATGTGCGCAATGCATATGCAGTTGACCAAAAAATTGATAAGTTCCAAATTAAATCATGCGCGGCAAATGTACTTATTTTTCTTATGCACGTGGCGTTTACAGTTGAGCAAAGCTCGACTAAGTGATAAATCGTGTAGCCCCAAAAATATAATTTATTGCGTCGATACTTTTTTTTTAGAGTCACTAAAGCGTACCAGTGATTCTTTATTTAGAATTTCTCTTTTCGTACTTTTTCCGATTAATCCACTGTAAATCGCCTGGACAGAGATAAATGCGCGAAATTTATTATTTTCTCACTCAAGCACCTCGACAATCGCTGAGATAAAGTAGATTAACTTTATCGCAAATGCATTGGTAGATTCACCGGTGAAACACAATTATTTAAACAAAATTAATCCTTTTTCAGTTTTCCCTACATACTTATCCAGAAGGTTAATCAATCTTCAAACTACGTGTAAAGTCATCTATGTAAAGAGTATAATACAAAATTCGACCGTTGTAACGTAAATTTAAAATGTAACACGTGTAACAATGTTTACTACATAAATTTAAAATGTAACACGTGTAACAATGTTTACTACATAAATTTAAAATGTAACAATATTTATTATATATATATATATATAAATCATAATATTAATCTACAATAATTATAATATTTGTTATAAGCTGTGTTCGTATAAAAAAATTATATTTTTCTATACTCAGCGATTATACAAAAAAAAGATTAACAACATTAACTAACAGCAACATAATTAAAAATAATTTTATTAATTCAATAACAATATTAATGAAACAAATACGCCACGCTCTTGTTTTAATAAAATCTAATTTGAACTTTCATGATCTCGATTAGGTTTCATATTAGTGTTTATTTATACGTCGCCTGAAAAGTACCGTTTCTTTTCATATTTATCAGTTATTGATAAATATTGCCATATGCCTAAGTGGTCGAACGATAAGACTTCCGAAGAGTAAGGAGACCAGGTTCAAATCCTGGCTGAGGTAATATTTTTCACAATAAGTTATTCTACAGGATTTAATAAGATGTTCATTGGCATCAAAATTATTAAATTGCTTGCCAATTTAATTTGTCATATTAGTAATCCGGATATATCTGTAATTATATCTGGATTACTAATATCCAGATTTAGTTTGGAGTTATGTTTTAAGACTGACAAATATTCGGCGCGAATATTTGTCCATCTGAACTAGAAATTGTAAATATTCACACAATTACTATTAAAAATCAAGATCCATTTCAGACCACATATGGCATTTCTAAAAATTTATTTTAATAAAAGGTGTTAATTGTTTTATTAATGCTCTTATTAAATTAAAAAGATCATTTTTAATTAGACTGTTGTTAATTAATACTATTAATACATCATTTTTTGTACGTATAAAACTGTCCTTTATCCTAAAAATATCATCTATTTCTATAAACATTTCCGTTTCTGTAGGCGACACAATTGAATCTATAATCTAGAAATATTTCCTTTTACACATCTTGCTTTAAAATTTGATTGATTTTGAAGATACAACATTTTTGCAAAATGCAACATTTTTGAAGCAATGCGCTTGCTCGTGAAAATATCAACAACATCGGCTGTTAGGTTACCCGGAATTTCGGCAATGGAATGTAGGGTCAAGTGAGTTACAGAAACGCGCGTAGATATTCGCGATGTAGATATTCACGTGTTAAGTGTTAAACATGAATGCACACGGAGTTTCGCCAAACATTCCATCGTTAATTTTCATTGAGCGCAGAAAGCCCCGGTTACCGGAATTCCCGTGGAAGTGGCGTCGCGGAAGTTCCAAACTTCTAATAGTGTGGAAATGAGTATCCCAACGGACGCGACTAGGCGGCTCAATGAGCTTTTTAGCGAAAGCAATAACGTATCTCAAAGTGCAAAAAATAAAAATACTTTCCATTTTCTTCCGGGCAAAACTTTATCAATAGTTAAAGTATGTTTCTTTTTAAGACAATGTTCTTCATTATTTAAAATTTATAGACTTGGAGAGATTCATCATTTTTATCATGACAAAAATTATCAGATTTTGCTAGGACTAAAAAAAGATTTTTACATGTGACGGAAATACATCGAATTTTGTAAAAAATAGAAAATATTTGAGATATTTCGCTTCTATAATCTTCAAAGGATTGATATGACATGAATATCTATTGAAAATGTTAAAATATTAATATTTAAAATTTTAACATTTTTTCTTATATAATATTAATATTTATATAATTTTAATATTAATTAAAGTAATATTAAGTAATATTAAAATTAATTGCTAGAGATTAGTCAAATAATTAAATGGATTAAATAGTACATCGATATAATATGAAAAATATCAATAATTATTCCAATAATCATAATATACATATTTTATTTGCATATATGCATATATTGATCGGCATTACTATTTTTTAATCATGTAACTTATGCTGATATCCTATTTTGCATTTCGTTGCGGACAAATATGTTAATTATATTATCATAGAATGAAAGGGATTTTGACGTGTAAACATTTGCCTTATGAAAATAGATTCGAAAAAAACGAAATAATGAAAAGCTGGGTTAAAATGTATAAAAATCTATGATAATACTCGTAATATCTACTTTTATGAAGCACAACGCTGCGTTTTTATCATGATTTTCCGCACTGTTAGCATACAAGCGCATTTCCCCATTTTCTCGAATTTACACCCGAATATAATGTGATAATTAGCTTCTCTACCGCGATTTTATCTTTGTGCTCTAATTTTGCGGGTTTTATTCCGCATAATAATTCCAAGTTCTCCCTAAAATATATCCCCAGCAAGCTTAAAGTATCATCTTGCGTGTTTAGAACACACTAGACTTTTGGCAACGACGCGACTCCTTTTGTTTTGTCAATTATAATTTTACTGTAAAAAATTGGCATATTATTCTCACGTAAACACGTAATTGTAAGATAGTCTCACGTAATTGTGATTTTCATGATAATTAAATTTAAGAGCAATATTTTATGTGCAAGTTTACATGCTTATTACTCTATTCGTCTTCCAATTCCACAAAGTGGGCAGGTCACGTGCACGGAGTCTAAAGTTATTATTGCAAAATATGCTGCAGAATTGTTGTACATTAAAACGAGCGAATGTTAAAATCAAATGTTAAAAGCCCACGCTGCCCTTTAAATATTGAAGCGTACTTTCGCTCCACGTGTGTGGTGAATGTGACATCGCAATTTTGCGAAAATTTATCATGCAGTGGCGTTACAAAGTTTCTATTCGTCTCGGCTAGCTGCAGCCGCATCACTTAAGAGAGAGAGAGAGAGAGAGAGCGGCACAGAACTTTAATTACTTATTTAAAAATATGAGACGCGACAGCTGTATTTAACGAAGCTCCTTACTTCTGAGAAATGCAGCGGCCGTCGAGTGGAATAGCCGCGCGGCTACGCCGACATCCGTTCTCTCGCGAAGGGGAGGAGTTCATGAAATATTAGCGCGTCGGTATTACGCTGCATACGCCACTCAATGCGCCGTAAAAAAAAAGAAAAAAAAAATAGCGTCGAAGTTCGCAGGAAAACAGTGCTGTATTACCGTGCAATCGCGCGTTAATTATGCAAACCAACATCGACTTATTCGACCGAATGGAGAATAATTATTCGTATGATCTTGTTGCGGACAAACTTGAATATCGTACTGAATATGAATAAAAAAATGAGATCCGACGTGTATCGATAAAACGAGTTCACTTCGCGCTGTGTTCTTGCTATACCCGCATTGTTACGTGTCTCTCTCTCTCTCTCTCTCTCTCTCTCTCTCTCTCTCTCTCTCTCTCTTTCTCATACACAATTAGTCATCACGAGGGAAGTGTAGCGACGTTACGTGTGCCACATGCAATTACAACATGAAATTACAAACTCACAACGCGCGGAGAAGACAGTCGTACGTTCTTCTTTTTAACACGAACACATCGCATTGAATATCTCGGAATCTCTTTTCCCCTCTCCACGCTCATTGATTAACTATGCCGATAGTTCTGACGTCAAGTGATAAAAAATTCTGTATTCCGTCGGAAGTGAGTTGCGGTCGAGTGCAACTAAGTGGAGATAAATCGAAGCGCATGCATTATTCATGAGTTACGGTACCTGGACGATCTTCGTCATTTCCTGCATATCGATAACGCCGTTGCCGTCAACGTCGTACATACGGAACGCCCATTTCAGTTTTTCCTCCGGCGTGCCGCTGGACGTTACGTCGATTGCCAGTAGGAATTCCTGCAACAAAAGCCGATGGTATCCCGTATCAGTAACGCCGTCACAGCTGGGGCGATATCAAAACTTTTATTTCCTCGCTACAAAGGAATCTCCCTTTTGTGCGAAACGAAAATCTATTTCCCAAGGTGTATCTATAATACGCATCAAAGGGAGGAGATCGGCTTCAAAATGCCATAATTCAAGCATCTCTGCCAGAGCCCGGGAAAATATCTATCCACTTGAAATACAATGATTCAAACAGAAATAGACTAGAATTTAAACATTAATTGAACTGATTGTGAGTTTATTTCAATATGGAAAGCAGTTTCTTGATTTTTCAAATATTTTTCAATTTTTAGAAAAATTAAAATATAGACATTTTCTTGGTACATATTTAAAATAAATTATCATTTGACCTTTTCCTCCCCATCGACATAATTATAGGAAAACTGTGAGAAAGAACTGTTTGCATATTGAATTTGAAGAAGTATAAAAACAAGAGCTTTCACAAATTTTTTAAAATAGGTATATTGCATTGCATAAATTTTTTTTTCCGAGAAATCTATTCTGTTATATTTCCGAGAAGCAAAAAAATAAAAGCTGATATAACCAAAAAAATGCTGACATTTAAATATTGAAAAAAAAATTTTTTTTTAAATTTATTATTCTAATTAACACTGCGATGGATTTTGTGAGTGATTACAAAAGATCTTTTTACCAGTTTTAAATGGTAAAAGCTAATCGTCTTGCATAACTTCTCGTTAATAACTCAGCTCTCAATATTCCAGAGGTGTGTTATCGATCATCATCTCGCGTCACCGGCGCGGCGGATACCGTCTTGAAGTTATAGCTCCTTTTACGAGCGTCATGTCTCCGTCGCGTGTTACCGGGCCGAAATCGCGTAAGCGTAAAAGCTCGCGATCGTGATACGGCGTCACAATGGCGGCCCGTAATCGCGTCGGGCGAATTTGTCGGGTCGAATCTACGCGGGTATCCTCGCCCCAGGCCGATACCTTTCGAGTACCGCCAAGTCGTTAGAGAGCAGTACGTTCCGGCAGAACTGGGTCACCTGCCGCCCGAGGTAGACAAACGAGACGAAGGCTTTATAGAGGACGGAGAGAGTGGACGGAGGGCGAGCCGGCTCTTTGCTCTTCCTGACCTCTGAAGTGTCACTTCTCGTATTGACCTCACAGGAAAAGAGAGAGAGAGAGAGAGAGACGAAAAAAGAAGCGGACCATTTTCTTTTCCGAGACTAGCCTTAGGCTCACACTTATTTCAGATGCAGCTTACCCGCGAAAAGCTCGCGGAAGAATCCGTGGAAAAGCTTCGACATTACCGAAGAAATGACGGCCGATATCGGGGAAAGAAAACATCTTTGTATGATGCCAATAACTGACCTTACAGTCACCACCAGCTCGTGAGAACGAACGCGCGGCGAATATTTGAGAGTGGACCGAAGTGATTTTCCCGAGGCTGAGAGTTTTCCGAACAGCGCTCGCGATTGGTATTCTTCCAGCGAAAAACATTCAAAACAGTTATTTCGAATGCATAGAGCAATTATGCAATCAGTTGCCCTGATCGAGAAATTACATGTGATATATGGAAAACGTTTCTGGAACGGCTTTTCAATTTGAGATTTTGAAACTGTCTTACTAATAATGAAGTTATAGAATTATTCCACAAATTGCAATGATCCTACAAGTTTATTAAGTATAATGGTATGTATATGTATATATGTAGGTGTTTTCATTGTACAATTGTAAAATATAACGAGATTATTTTATAATCTAGAAAATTATATTTTATTTAAAGCATAACTTAACACGAGAATAATAAAGATTATCCTGATCTATAATTATCAATATGTTGCTGATAATAGATTAAGTCTAATGATTATAATATTTAAATAATTAATCGTCGCGCAATACAATTTCTTGCTCATAAATTATGTATGCTTATTTTTTTTCTCACAAATTATTTCCTGTAAAATCACCTACCTAAATAACTTAATATTCAGAGTTTTTAAAATTGATTTCAGATAACAGTACTTTTCGCATTTATTATTCAGAGTCACGTATACAGCTTTAGGCAGCTCGTGATGTGGATATGGAAAAAGTTACGGTGCTTTGGGTCGGGAATCCCTACGTCGTTTACGTTAAGCCAAGGAAGTCACGGCAAAGGAAGTCGAAAGAACGTGGGTCGCGCAATTTCCGGTAAAATCATTAATTTGACTTGTATGTTACACGCCACTTTATTTTACATATCAAATTTATCACATCGTCTGAAGTACGTAACAAGTTCATGCGACATACTCTGATATTTAAACTTTATTCATATTTATTTCAAAAATGAATAATGGCCGATCGAGAACATTTAACAGAGAAGTTTTGAACGTTATTACAGGATAATTCCTATTAAACTACCATTAAAATATTTAATGAAGTTACTTCTATCATCATAATAATAACAATCGGCTTTTGATTAAATATGTGTAAAAATGTGTTTATTAAGACTAGAAATTCTAAATATTTTTGCTTATTTTAACATCTCTCTACAACCACTTAATAATTTAAGTTTATATACTTTTAATTGTAGATTTAAATTAAAGAAAGATGCAAATAGTTTCTTGTAAAATAAATTTTAAAAGAAGGACAAATATGTAGGTACAGGGTGTATCTTAAACAGCGCTCATTAATAATGCTACATTAATTAGTGGGCACTGTTTAAAATATACCCTGTGTATATATTCTTTCATCTTTTAAAATTTATTTCACAAGAAACTGTTTGTATCTTTAATTCAAAATTAGAATTAAAAATAAATATATATCGAAATCTTATATCCGTTTTTTCCCAATAGAATCTTCTGTCTCTAAAATTTGTAATTTTAAATAGAGTTATTTAGATGCTTAATATTAAGCATAAAGATAATTTATTAAAAGATTTTCTCTTTGTGTCTTTGTTTATTTATCAACCCTTCGGAACGCAATTTCCTTGAAGTACGGAAAATCCAAGATTCATTTCTCATTTGTTATTTAACGCAATCTGAAGCACAAACGCACTCTACAGTCTTTAATTAAGATAAAATGTTTCGTTGGCTGCGAGTATCTCACTATCTTGAGAACAAGCGTCTAATATCGATGCCGAATTATTATTAAAAAGTAGCCATAAAGAATGTGTTTTAAGAGAAATGTAGACTTTTTCCGCAGACTTATTTTAATCTATTTTTGCATTATTGCCTTTAATCGCGAAAGTCGTGTACTGCATTATTCGCGTTTTCACGGATCGTTCACGCTTTACGTGCTCTCAGAATTATAATACGAAATGCAAGCAATAAATTTAAATGCATATGAATATATTAGTGTGATGTGCCTTACGTTCACATACATTGAATTGCATATAGCTAAGAGTTTCGTTGAATATTGATATGATTGATCCATTAAATGCGAATTCACACGCGCATTGTGATCACGTTAAGTGCACAAAAAAATGTATTTTATAAGAATTATATAAAAAATAATTTTGAAGATACATTAGTAATAAAACTTCGTTTGTGGTATGTACACCGTTTTAGTTTCCACGTTCACCGTTCGTGTGTATAAGTCACAAATCACGCTAATGTTTTCTCAGTCAGTCGTGTTCTACGAACTTAATGCTTTCAACACTTAGCTGTTAAAAGTGTAAAACAACGTTTCGTCGTGCAAATTGAAAACAAAGAATGAAACAAGTGAAGAGAACGTAGTACGAATAACGGGAGGGACGTAAGCTTCAAAACGAACTAAGCAACTTCGAACATTGAGAAATGCGTTTCCCTTGGAACACGAATGTTCCGAAGTGGATTTTCGAAGTGGATCCTGGTTGCCCAATGGACGCTAATGGAAATGCAGCCTCGGGAGGATCGCGATCGAGCGCTCTTTAAGAAAAAGGAAAAGGTCAAGCCTGTTCGTGATTCAAGGACGGACGTGAAAGTACAGAAAAGCTTTCTGTAAAACATACACCTTTTTCTTGCACACGGAACGTATGACCTTTTGCTTTACCGCAACGTTAAGTGAACACCCTGAATTACATTTTATGTAATCGTATTCCATATGTAAAACTCGAACTTCTCTCTCTCTCGAGATCTTTAAAACGTTTCTAATGATTTTAGTTTTACGAATAAATCATGATGTGTCAAATCAAAATAGTTTATCTCATCGCGTAACGTGAAATTAAAACTCGTAAATATTCGTTCTAGATTTTTTACGAATAGTATATTTTGCAATTACTTGTGTATCATGCTTCTATCACATATGAATAAGTCATTAAAACGTCGTTCAAATTTCTTCCCGAAGAAGTAATTAGTAATGCATAAGAATTGAGATGAAACGACATAAAATATAGTGATATTTATATGAGTATTCATTCGATATCATTAGTGTTCTATCAATATATTTCATTATCAAATTTTATCATCATTCATGAACAATGTAAAATTATTGGTAAAACAAGTAGTAGTAAATTATTCACGATATATCCGTAATGTTCTTTCTTGTTTCTGTGATCCTATTTTAACTATTAAAATTTTGTAACTTCTCCAAATATCACGAATGAGCAGGCAAGCAAATTGATATTCATTGAACAAGAAGTTAAGATCAGCCAATAAATTAAAATTGAATTATACAATAATTTATTTGCTAAGAGGATGGAGTAAAAAAATTACAAAGTATCGCCAATATACTAAGTGATCCATTTATAATGAAAAATATATTTCAAAAAATAGAGAAGACACGAAAAATCGTTTCAGACAAAAGTTATATCATCTGACGAGGAAAACAAATATTGGTAAACTAATTTTCAAAAAAAAATCAATTTTTCAAAGTCATATGAATCACTGCTTTTAAAAAATGAAATTATATATCTTTTTACATAATATGATTTCTTTAATTATTCTGAATATAAAATTATTAAGGCAAATTGATCGAAAAATCAATCCTTTACGAGATATTTTATATTTTATCATATTTCGACATAAAATATGAAATATT